AGTTAAGACAGCTTCACATACTGTAAATACATCTAAAGTGTGCTTAAAATTATGATGTTTTTGATGAAGATTTGCTGTGTTTTAGCTGATATGTTCTCTGGCAGGAACTGGACATTGACTTAAATGGATGTACTTTATGTGGACTTATTTATTCATTCATTCATTCATTCATTCATTCATCTTGGTTATTTCTGTCCCTGTCGAGCTGGCACCACACTTTTGAAATGTATTATTCATTCACGCGTAGCTTCAGGCGCCGTAATCTAGAGGGCACACACTTCATACTTTGTCGATGCATATTTCAGCAGCAATACCATTCTTAAGCTTTGAGTTTAGAGTCCAGCCAGTGTTGTGCCAGATTAAATATTATTATTGACCTTTGACCTGTAATGATGTGTGATATTTAGAGGATGGGCAAAATCGGCATAAAACAGAAGTTGCTATAGTCTTTTTTCCCCCCTATTGTTGCTTCTGGAATAAGAAGAAATTTAGGGCGGGACTTGATTTTGTCCATCAAGAATTGATTGGATGGTTTGCTATTGGTGGATCTCATGTGAGTGACAGGTTGTCCCGCCCTCCCATCATCAGAGAAGAGAAGAGATGTCTCTGCAAGAGGAAGGGGAAGTTATTTCGATTACGAGGGCATGAATAAAAAAAAAACGATGATGTGCACAGATAAATCATTTATAATAAATACTGCAATGTTCTTTAAAAACAAAAACAAGAATTGATTTCATGGTGACTTTAAGGAGCAATGATGTTGCCTCATTTGCATATGCATTCTGATTGGACAATTTACTAATCAAAGGAGCGTTTATGCAGTCAGCCTGCTCTGCCATTCGTGTGGTATATCAAAACTCTCAAGGGCTACCACAAATTTTTTTTTTTTTTGCATAATATATCAATCTGGGTTATGAACATTACTATGTAAACTGATTAGAATTTTGTCTCTTAAGTTTATTTTGAATATACATTTTTTGAGTTGACTCAGACTTCTTTTCAAGTGGTGCTCATTGCAGAGCCAAATGACATCCAGCTCCCCCTCTGTGGAGATAATAAAGCTAATAACCTGGTTAGGGTGTGACTGGACCTCCAAGGTCCACCCATTACACCCAGAGAGGAGGAGCTGGACGTCAAGCTCCACCCACTGGCACTTCTGTGAGCAGCTTCTCCTTCCCTTTGATACTTTCTTCCATGGTCAAATTTATTGATTGTTTCAAAAAACCTGCCCACTTTCTGATTAAAATGAATTCAGGGCTTTAGGAAACCAGCGATAACTGCAAAGCCACCACACTGTACTTCATCTCCACTGCATAACCTCAACAGCCTGTTAATCTTTTCTGATTAGTATGTGCAAGACAGCTGAATCAAATCATGCCCGCTAGGCCACGCTTGACTGTTTCACTAGATCCCAATGTTTTTTTTAGACTTCATTCTGAGCTGCTTCTTCACTCCAGAGTGCTTTTATGTAATTTTATGTGGCTCTTCTTCCATGCCTTTTCTGAAGGTGCTAATTAGGTCCATATGCTGGATTTTATTCAGGTCCTTGTTTTTTTTCTCACCTTTCCTCACACCTAACGTGGATGTGCTGAGGGATAGAGCAGCTCTCATACTAGTGACAGACCCGATCCAGGCCATGGAAACAGGCTTTTTATGCTCTGCTGAGTTCACACTTGAAGCACCTGTGCGGCACAAAAGGTCCCTGTTCACTTGCATTCTTGCTTCTATTCCACACATCTCAGGGTTTTAAAAAATATCAATTCAAGGCAGTCTGGTATAGAGAGAGAGAGAGTTCCTTAAATGTCTGTGTGGCCTTTTAATTCACAAGTTGGAACTGTATTCATATTTTAATTATTCCCTGATATGTAGAATACATTTTCCCTTCACTGATCAGACATAATATTAACTTTTTTTTTAAATGATATAAATAGCTAACAAAACAATCAAAACATATTTAGACTGCCATATTACTCTTAAAAACAAAGGTTCATAATTGGCATTGATGGTCCCGTGAAGAACCTTTAACCTACATAGAATTTTTTATTGCTCAAAAGGTTCTTTATAGTAGAAAATGGTTCTTTAGATTAAGAAAATGTTCTTCACGCTAAAACTAAATTGGTTCTTCATTGAAAGGTTCTTTAGTACGGAAGCGTATTGCATTTACTTGAGGAAAAAAAATCTACTCTGTTTCCCGAGTTAATTATCTCAGAATTACGAGATATTTTTTCATGAAAAACATTTTTTTCACTTTGTTTTTATGAATTAATGAGTTACTCATAATTTTGAGGTAATTAAATCAGAAAAACAGAGCAAAAACTTTTTTCCATGTAAAATTATCTTGTAATTCTGAGACAATTAACTCGATAATTCAGAAAAACAGAGCAAAAACTTTTTTTCCATGAAAAATTATCTCGTAATTCTGAGATAATTAACTCGTTAATTCAGAAAAACAGAGTCGATTTTTTTTCCTCAAGTGAATGCAATACGCTTCCGTACTTTAGGGAACCCAATATAGTTATTCTATGTCCATTTGGAAAAGTACTTCAAAAATAAATAATCATGTTTTAATATATAATCAATATAAATCATATTTAAGACTTTGAGGTAAATTAAAGCATTCTGGATTTTGCACCATTTAATTTATTACAAATAATGATTATTTGAAATTTTATTTTGTGGTATGCATTTAAATGCATCTAATGTTTCTGGAAGTACCTCACATGTTGTGTGTAATGTTTATGGGTAATTCATAATGACATTTATTAATGTGAACGTAAATTGCCATTTTGCACATTTTACCTCTTCCAGGATATTCAACAGGAAAAATGTAGGAAGTGGCCATTATAAGAGAGCTACTAGTGAACATTATCAAATGGTCCATGTGGCCAATGTGAAATCAGCAGTCAAGGAAAGTCTAAGGGCAATAGACTTTGATCAAAAATGGTAATGGCAAACCTTTTTTTTCTTCCTTTGGAATGCCATGCATTATGAAAATAAATACTAAATAGATTGATTTCATCTTCACTTTAAAAATAGCCTTACATTCTACGTGCTTAAATTAAGATTTGAATTACAATTCTGTGTCCTCTTTTGCTACCTCAGTTCAAATTCAGCATTTGAGAGTGAATGAAAAAGGCCGCTTTTCAATTCTGAATGGCACTCAACCCTCGCAGCCAATACTTCTCAAGACAGCTGCAATCTGTAAAGCCACTTGTGATAAAGAGGCCAGTCACTGAACCAGACTGGTTCAGCAACTCTCTGTCATGATTACAGCAAGGTCAGTCACCAGAATATGACTTAACACAACAACACACTCCATCACATGTGCACACACCCACAACAAATACTGCTGATCAGATAGGAGAAGCACACGTTTGACCACACACTAGGGCATAAAAGATTCATGCTAATGCATGTGAAATGTGATATACTTCACTGAACACACTTCATGACATCACTCATGCAGATACTTAAACGTTGCCCAACACAGCCACGCTGGGGCTCCACCCCTTGTGGTGACATCATCCATAAGAGAGGATGCTGGGAGATGACAAAAGAAGTCTGTGACAGAGTTCATGTATGAGTAAACACGCTCGCTCGCTGGATGTTTCTGTTGACAATAAGCAGTTCTGAGTTTGACCAGTGAGGTCATCATTGTACCTCGGAGAGGATAATACACAAAGTGAATAATGTTTCTATTGTTTTATGTCATGTTGCTTTAAGCACTTGAGAATTAATTATACTAGTTTTGAGTTATACCAGCAGCTTCTGCATGTGTCAGTGTCCTAATGTAATTTTAAAATTTAGATCTGAACTGATAAATTTAGATCAAAATACCTCATGAAAATATCTCATGAAAATACTTAAGAGAATTGTTGTAGTGCTTTTGCTTTGGAGTCTGGCTTTGAGAGTTGACATGTTTGGTCTGAAAATCAAGACTAGAGTTTTGACACTTTGTCATTTGGTCCCTTGAGTTCCAGTGAATAGTTTGAGGAGAATGTTGACATACAGTATAGGCCAAAAACATCACACCATAATTTTGGAAATATTAGTTTTCTCTGTTTTTTGTTTTGTTTTAGAGAACAGGTTGGTGTTGAATATAAGAAAGAATACTTACACAACATAGTATATACAATCTCATTTTTATCCATCTATACATCAATCCAGGGGCACTTATTCCTATAAGCCTATAGTTTATATTATATACGTATTTAATATGTCCATCCAAAGCCTAAAATGCAATTAAAGTCGCTTCAGATAACAGCGTCTGCAAATGCATACATTTAAATTTTACTTATATACTAATGTGTACACTTCTACAAGATTCTTAAATAGTAACAGTATTTTTTAAATATAGAATTAAGTTATGGAATGTTTTTATTTATAATCTTTTTTTAAAAAGCTTTTTTTTTTTTCCAGGCATATTTTGTTTCAGGTTTATGTAGACCTACACCCCTGACCTTTTTTCAGGATTTTAATTATCATCATCAATATCTGTCTAGATTCAAAATACATATTGCAACTGAGATAAATAGGCTACCTATCATAGAAGGACCAGACAAACTCAACTCCCCTCCCATAAAGTGTTTATTTTCTGTAATAAATCATGTTTATGTTTAATATTAAATACTTTTTTTTAATATAGAATAACACAAAGCAAAGCTTCCCTTTAGTGACATCAGAAGTTGTTAGCTACCCTTGACAGTAAACATGGTTTAGTAGTGTGTTATCATGGAACTCTCTCAGGGAACAGTTAAAATCAATGTTTGCCCGCTGGGCGCGACCATTTGATAAACGGGGAACGGTGCCTAATTAAGAAGCGCAAAAAGGAAGGATTAAATGAAGATAACAGGATAAAAAAATTTTTTTTTATAAATTGTAAGCCTTTAGTTTATATTATATACGCATTTAATATTACACAACGCTGGTCTTATACACAAGCTGCGCACCAGCACATCACACCCCTTTTCCGTAGTTGGTACAATCGTGAAGTAGGTTGGCTTGGGTTGAAAGTCGCTCGGAGCAAAAATGTTTCCCAGGGTCTGCCTTCGCGTACTCAGGCGCTGATAGCTCCACCAGTAACGATTTCGTAAGGATCTCATGCTCAAAGCCATGCTGAATCCAAGAGGCTGACGACAACGACACATCTGAAATAATCGCCTTTTTTCCCCCAGCGCCGAAGTACTTTTTTGAACGAAGAGAAATCAGGATGCCCGTGAAAGGTGGAGGAAGAGTTGCTTTTCCGAATAAAAGCGAGAATGTTGTAAGTAGCCTATCGCTGCTGGAGGAATGTCATATATGGTTTTTCAGAAATAGTTTTGTTTACTTGGGAAAAAACTCAAGCGTTTAAAATATAAGAAGTTTTGATCTGAGATAGTGTATTTTAATTTTGTTTTTGATAATAAGGTGGTTTCACGGAGATTGGTTTCAGCCAATGGAATGTTGTACTGTGAACTTCACCTGTTGAGTTTTCCTCAGTGGACTCTACAGTATCAGCACGCTCCTGTCAACTTTATCCAAAATAATCCCCTTTTACTGCCGTTTATACTACATCATTCTAATGGTCAGAAATTATATTTAGCTGTTTGCTTGTCGTTTACATACGCCCACGTCTAAATACCATTCCATAGGAACAAAACAGGGAATTGTTGTAGTGCTTTCGTTTTGGATTAGAGCTTCAGAAGTGTTGACGTGTTTTGGCCTGAAAAGTCAAGACTGAAGTTTGACACTTTGTCGTTTGGTCTCCTGTGAGGACTTCGGATAGATTGTTGACATAAGCATAAAAACATTACACGCAGAGTTATCTCAGTCGCATGTATCGCCCAGCCAAAATAATAAAAAAAACATTTTGATTTACGTTTTTTTTTTTTAAATGTTTATATTTACAAAGCTAATTTCTTTCAAACATTTGAATCAAAAAGTTTTTTAATATCGAACGAACTTCGTCATTCCATCAAGTCTGTCCAAACTTTTGACTGGCCGTGAACTCTGTGCTGTAACTCACTCTTTGCATCAGTATTTAGGATTTCATATCAGATCAACAACTATTACATCAGAATATAACTTCATTAAACTGTTAGTGATGCAGAAACTATTCCTGGAGCTGCTGGGACCAGGTCACCTTGATTCGATTTGAGTGAAACTATGGCTCTATCTCATTACCTACAGTGAGCTAGCCTCGTGAGACCATCCTGATCTCGCGAGCTTTCAAGGTTTCACTCGCAGATCAGTCTGGATACTTTCCGTTAAAGAAAATTTGGGAGCAGTTCACCAAACGAACGTCCAATCAGCGTTGGCTTTGAGGCGGGTTGAGGTGTGACGCAACGAGAAGCGCGTCAGTTCAGTCTAAAGAACATGTCGGCTTCAGCGGATGAAACTAGCATCAGCGTGGCTATCGAGCAAGTTTAATCGGAATTACAGAGTATTTCTTCACTGAAAGAAGAGCAAAACACTGCTCTGGAGGCTTTTCTCAGAGGAAAAGATACGCTCTGTTAGTACGTCATATGCTTCGTTGATCTGATTGGTTGATTTGGCCCGTCTATCACCAACATAGGCCAATCAGCTAACCAGTATTTTCGCCCCTTACCAAAACTACTTCAACGGAAGGTTTCCAGATGGATATGCGGAGCAAATCCATCTGGCGGAGTCAGGTTAACAGTGAGCTGCCTGCATAGAACATTTTTTTGGGGCATCCATAGGCAAGTTCTGAATCAGCCAAGGTGATGATGCACAAAAATGCAGTCTAGGTAGGCAGGGGCAGCTCACTATACTTTTACAACTCAACCTATGTTGCCTCTTGTTGCCTCATCCGAACGGACTGCTGATGTTGTCGCCTCAGTGTGGAGGTGTTGCGTTCACCCCGCCGTGGTCTCCTCATTTGGCTCTGTGTTTTCTGTCTGGTTTGGCCCAGCGGGAGAGCAGCTTGGGCTGCAGATTATCAGACCTCATTATTCAGGAGTGAAGAGGCCTGATTCTGATGTTAGGATGAGAAGAGCTGTTATAATCACACCCGGACTAATGGCTTCTCAAGAGCCAATCTTCTTATACTCACACTCACAGAACTGATTTAAAGTCTTCACTACTTCTGTGAGCAACATTCAGTGCATTCAAGTTCAAAGTTTGAAGACTCATTTGTTTGCCGAATCTGTACAGATGCAATATTAATATTCTTATGCATGTGAATTATTCTAAAAATGAAAATTCTGTCGTTATTCACTCACCCTCATGTTGCTCCAAATGTGTATGCTGTTATTTTTTTCAGTGGCATACAAAAGACAGAACGACAAGTTCTTTCAGTTTTTCCCCTCCGTTTGGCCTAAAACAATGTGTCCGTAGTCATCCACTTTGAAGTGTTAACTACAAACAAGGCGTTTTTCAGAATTTCCGTCAGGGTGTTCTCTCAGTATTTACGTTTCTTTGCAGCCTTTAGCCACAGCCTGCAATGTGTTGGATCCTTCACTGGAAACTGAAAGGAACATTCCCGCTGAACATTTACTCTTTGAATTCTTGCACCAGAGAACAATACAAGTCGACACCATTATGGCTAAAAGTTTGCTAAGAAGTATTTCCTACTAAAGCAAGGTGGTATTTGGTCAAGTGTATCCATAGCAGACTAGGAGTGGCCTTGGATGGCAACATTCCCAGTGCATTATGGGTGTTTTCCTACCTATCTGTCAAAAGGGAAGACAACAGCCTTTTTTTCCCCTGTTTTCTCTAGTCAGGTAGCACTGATTAAATTTTGTTTTGCCTTTCTACTGTATAAGCAGCTAAGTTTTTTTTGAAAGCTCATTTTGCCAGCTGTAAAATACCCCTTTAAATTTCTGCTTGTTCTAAATACTAGTGCATGACTAATATGAACCACTTTCATCATTTTTTTTTTGGTGTTTTTGGTCTGTTTTTGGAGCTAAACAGCCATGGTCACTATGAACACTGTCATTCCTGAAAAAAAGAGGTCATACAGGTTTGGAATAACATGAGGTTGAGTAAATGATAACTGAATCTCCACTGTTGGGTAAACTAACAGTTTAGATATGTTTTTTTTTTACTATTAGAATTCCCTATTGTATTGTTTTTTGCATTTTACTGTCAAGTCTAATCAGACACATCTAGTGGTGGTTCACACTGTGGAGCCCCCCTGGCCCTGACCAAACACGTGGATCGCCATATTCGAATCCGGCCTAATCCACGGGAAGGCTTTTAATTCTGGCCCGTTGCCTTTAATCTCCCACGAGGTCGCTTGGCTTCGGTTTTCCGCTCCAATCATACCTTTTAATTAGGAATCTCTGTTTGTGTATTCATATTAGGACATAATTTCCTCTGATAATAGATGTGCACGTCTATAACGAGGACAAAAACAACACGGAAAAAGTAGTCTTGTTTTTGTGCATGTTCGGAAAGAAATCGCGGAGGTTTTCAGGCTATGTTGCGTCTCTGCACACCATTGCGTGTCTTATCACAGCTGGTTTATTGCAAACGCTCTGTGCCAGGCACAAGGGCGCTCGGTTTACATTCCTCCTGCACAGGCTGCGCTGCCATAGTGGTTGGACTCAACAATGCTTCCACCTGTCTCTCACATTCACTTAAAAGGTTTGGACTAATTAAACTGCATATATGTTAATAATCTGTTTTGACACCCAAAATGCCGTCTTACTTTAAAGTCTGATTGGAGTGTGTGGCAAACAGCAATTGTATCAATTGTTTCTCCTAGGATAAGAGATGTAATTTGATTCTGCATTAAGATAAACTTGAATTCTGTAATAAAACAACCTTTGTTTGGTTTATGCAGATAAGAGCTGCTAGGCACTCAACTGAGGCTTTTTTTATTTTTATTTTAGCCTAAAATAGTTCTTTTTTTCTTTGTAGTTTGTGGCTGGAAAATGCCTCTTAATTACATGGACGAGTTTGAACCCCTGTGCTGGATATTTTGGGCCTTTGCTCCACCTCGCCAGGGTGCACATCCTGTATGCATGCACATTTATCAGTTCATGCAAGCTGTGTGATCGGTTGATCTCATTAGGACACACAAAGTGATGTCAAGATCAGTTGTCATGTATTGTGGTTTCCTGTATTCTCATCAATTTAGTTTAAAAGAAAAATACCTACTTGTTTTGTTTCAGATTGACTTGTTAGACGAAATCTTCAAACTTTCCAGAAGTTGTTATTTCCTCCCTGGCCTTAAGGAATAAGATTGAGCTTATCTGGGAATGTACAGGATGAGGGCAGTTTACAGTTGGCTTCCTCTGGTGCATTGCTTTCCTTTTTGAACAGTACCACACCCTAAAGATTGCTGACCCTGTGCACAGAGAAAACTCATTAGATCCCTAAGGCTCTCCAGACGTTGGCCTAATCGCCAGTTGATGACAGAGATTTCTGGGAAGTGCATCTCTGTCCTGCTCTATCATATTTGACATGAGTCATGTGTTGTGGATGCAATGAACATTTTGTAATTCCAGGTCATGCTGGCTCTAATTTAAGTTTCATAACCTTGTGGTTGAAAGTTTTCCCTCCCCTTAAGGGTTTCATCAGATTGGGGTGTTATTTTAATTTATGGTTTAATTTAATTTACGATAGTGTTGATTTGAAGCAGATATGCATCAGTTTGTTTAAACTTTCTGCAATTACTTAGTCATAAAAAGATGCTGCTTTTAGCTGGAGGCCAAATTTGTTGTTTAGAACACTTATTTTGATTTCCCCTGAGAATATGTTTCATTAGCGGATGCTCGTGGAGATTACTTAGGGATGCCGGCATGTAGCCTAGTTGTTTTTGAACACAATGTTATAGTTAGTTAGGGGTGGGCGATATGACCAAAATCTTGTATCACGATATGAGTTATTTTATTTCACAATAACGATTTATCACAATATAGTTATTTTTGCTTTAAATAAGGTTTTTGTGACATCTAAATGTTTGATGCCATTGAAATACCATAATTCTTGTCACCATTTTCGATACCACAAAAACTACTAGCCTAAGTATAAAACTAATCTCTCAAGCTTACTGAAAACAAGTAGGCCTAAACAGAAAAAGACAAAAAAGAACAAAGAAACTGATTACAAGCATATTGGAAGACAAACAATAGAACAAAGACACAAATGAAATTGGCCATTATTTCTAGAAATAAGAAATACTACATAGTATAAAGTAATCATATTTATATAAAAAAAGTCTTCACTGTGTAAATTTAACATATTATTCTTATTAAAAAGACCGAATCCATATCCAAACTACTTGTGCGTTTTCTTCCTCAACTGTTTACATTCACT